GAGTTCTTCAAATGGGCTTGAGCTATCTGTCCCTGTGGTTCTTCATGAGATCTAGAGAAACCTCCCGACAGAGGGAAGAAAGCAAACATTTATTTAATGTCTACTTTTTTACATATCGAAGCATGAAGAAACGAAATATAGTTTTCCAAGTTGATCGATGAAAATGTCTTTGATTCCAAAGCACATATCAACTAGCATGCCACCTGAAGCATATTCTCATGTAACTATATGAGAGAGCATCAAATGCATCCAGGTTGATCAGAGTGAATGATAAAATACTGTTGTAACTTTAGGTTTAACCTAAATCGATTTCACTTTTAGACTGGGTTTCCAGTCCCCAGCCAGCACAGGAGATAAAGACACCCTAAGTAAACTGTCAGACAAGCCCAGACTCTGGAATAAAGGCAATGATCCTGGCCTTTTCATACAACAAATGCCATTGGGAAAACATGACTGGGATACTGCTTTAAGTGAAAAGATATTGAAGGACAAGTTAATCATGACTCACTACTCAGGTTTCAAAGACCAGGTTGTTACTTCAAAATCAGTGTTATGGGAAAATGGAAGATGACTACATTAGATCCCAAAATGGAGCTGCTGTATGTGTGGCAGTAATGTGCAACATGTCACATATTATATTTTTTACTATTGTCATAAATATGAAATATCAGAGACCAAGATAGTTGATCAGGAAGGATAACGTTAAAATTTAACTGGATTTGATTCCAAAAGGGTCCCCCCTGTACCACAACATGGAAATACCTGAGGGAATTTCAACAAGGGCTGGATGTGGATGACATGCCATTCCTGCTGCTTTGGGTCAAATAGTAGACGGACCCCTCGGGTTTCCAAGGCTGTGATGTGTATGGAATCAGACCACCACATGTTTCTCCCATGGAGGAACTGGTGACTTCAAACCAAGGACTTTTTGGTTAGCAGCTCAGTACTTAACCACTGCACGACTAGGGCTCCTTTGGGTGATATTAGACCATTCTTATTTTAGATGTGGTAATGATATTGTAACGATTCCAGAAAATGCCAGTATGCTTAAGAGCTAAGTGACAACGTGCTTAAGAGTCAAGCAATGTCTACTATTCAGTTTCAGATAGTTGAAAAAAATAGTATGTGTGTGTGTAAAATATGGCAAAATACTATCAGTTGCTAAATCTAAGCAGTAAATACATAGACACTTATTATACTACCAACCTCCCTTAAATTTTTTCATAATAAAAAGTTGAAAATAAGCCACTAGAAACTTTGATGGGCCTAAGCTGCCTGGGAATGATAGGAAGGGAACTATTCTGAATAAGGTGAAGGCTTTTGAGATTTTAAATGATCAAGACTACATAATAGTTTAAAAGTAGTTTGTTAGAGTCAATGTGAAAATATTTTAGAAAAACAGATTCAAATGATTACAGCTATGTAAAACTATATTTTGCAGGTAGATTAAAAACTAGAAATATTTAGGTTGGGTCAAAGGAAATAAAAGTGATCTTATCAACATTACTCTTCTAGTAGCATCTTTTCCATTAATATAATGTAAAATTTATATTCATGGATCAAGATAGAAAAAGATATAAAAATAATTTTGCTGTGATGTGGGATTACAAATGAGTATTTTTATTTAAAATGTCATCTTTGAGTCCATTGTAAAGAAATATTCTTTATCATACCAGAGCCAGCCGTTCAGAACCACCAGCTTTTTTTTTTATCATACATAAATGCATCTGTTTTATCACACTACTAAAAACATACTATATTAGTGTGGCAACTTTAGCTTAACCACTATAATCCTAGCATGGGTAACATGGTCTATGTATGTTAACAATAAGTGCAACATTAAACAATTGAAAATTTTAAATAGCCCCAGAAGCTGTTAGAAGCTTGGTTCATGAATGACCAAATATGTTCATTTAAATTATTATTTTTTAATTACTATCAAGCTGATTCCAACTCATAAGACAGAGAAAACTGCCCCATAGCATTTCCAAGCTGAAATCTTTGTGGAAGCAGACTACCACAGCCTTCTTCCATGGAATGTGGAGCAGCTGGTGGATTCAAACCGTCACCTTTTCAGGTCATAGATACTTAACCACTGCACCAAAAGGCTCCTTAAACTGTCACCAAACTACTGCCAGAAGGCAACTATAAATAAAGTTTTATTGAACTGAAGCCATGTTCACTCATTTTATATATTGTCTATGGCTACTCTACAAGTGCAGGTTTTAGTCCTCACATGCCTCGTGTTTTTTTTAAAGTTTTATTAACATACAATTTGCATATCATACAATTCAATAGTTCCATCATATTAAAGAGTTGTATAACCATCACCACATTCAGGTCTAGGACTACCATATATTTATGATCTTCAATTCTTTCCTGGCTTTATGTATGTGGTCGGCCTGGTTCTGCTTTTGTGGATAAATGTTCGGGAAGTTGTACACTTTCATACTTAGTACAAGAAGTAAGCAGGCCTCATTATATTGCCTTTCACTTACTTGTGCTTCCTGTTTCTGCTGTGAAGGGAAGCATTGTGCTTCACTGATACTGCGTTTTTGGGGTTTTTTTTTTTACGAATTGTAAATTTATGGAAACCCAGTGTCAAGAATCAATTAGCAATGTTTTTTCTACAGCCTGTGCTCATCTTGTGTGTCTCTGTCACATTTTGGTAATTCTCACAATATTTCACACTTTTTAATAATGCTTATGTACACTTAATAGACTTAAATTTAATGTAAGCTAAACTTTTATATACAACCAAAAATTATTAATTTCTTATGGTGGTCTGATACCAAATCCATAATACCTTTGAGGTAGCCAGTAGCTCCTACAGAGATTGTGTGGTACACGAAATCTAAAATACTACTATCAGAATCAGAAATTCATTGACTTCTGGTCTAGAATTACATATGTATATGAGGATTATGAAATAAGAATGTACAGAATAAAGTTAGGTTTTAATGGTGAAGCAGTTACATATTTTTATTCTGATTTACAGTTTTTGTTCTTTAAATAAGTAATTTTTAGGAAAACATAATTCAGTCAGAGTTACTATTGTTTTTATAAGTATGAAATTATTATGAGGGAGCAGATAGCAAATACACATTATGTAGTTATTGAAGCCTCAATACTGAAGTCAAGGAGGTAGCTTATAATCAATTTTACCAGCTAGCTCTGCATCCACCCGTGACAACCACAGGGATCAATCGGAAACAGTTGTGACCCCCACCCATTGCTTCGTAACCACCCTCTCAACCAATCCTACATCAATGGAATCTGACTTGTCCCTTAGCCCTTGTTAGATGATTAAGGCAGACTTGGTCCTGGACTCTCGCTCTTCTTTGCTGTCTCTACCAACTACTATTTTGCATCTTTCTACAAAAAAAATTGGCCATCTTATCATAAGCCAGAAATGCTTAGTTCCTTTGTCCTGGGAATTCAAATATTTAGAATTAAGTTTTTAAGAATCAGAAATTCAGGGGGAAATTGCAAAGGTAATTCTCCTACGATCATTCACGATTACAAAATAGTATATATAATCATTAGCAGATGAAGGCATGTCTACATGATGAAATATTAAAAGTGATATATTTTATGAAGACTTTGCATGTTGGGCTGAGATCCACAAGTTCTGCAGTTCCAAACCTTCAGAAGCTCCTCAGGAGAAAAATCAGTTTGCTACTCCCTTCATCAGGTACAGTCTCAGCAACTCGGTGCCCCTGCCCTACGGGTGCCTATGAGTCAGGGTCAACTAGATGTCAGTGAGCTTGCTTTTGACCTTATTAGATTTACAATCAGAAATCAATAGACTTGAAAAGAATGAAGTCATATAAACAGGCATGAGAAACTTCCGTAACAGTGGTATTTAAGTTTAAAATGATATACAGTTTCCAAGCATTTCTCTATAAGCATTAGTCACAAATGCTTATAAATATAAAGAATAATAATATATATATGTATGTATATATATGCATATATATAGAAGAATATCCAAAATTATATAAACTGCATCACCATCAGTGGTATAGCTATCACTAGGAAATTATACTGAGTGGACTTTTTCTTAATTCGATGTAGATTTTCATTTTTTTCATCATGACATGAATAACTAGAAAAGGGAAATAGATATGAACGTACAAAGATAATATTTATAAATCTTTAATTGACCTTGTTAATGCTTAGGAAAAGAACACAAAATTACATAGCGAGAATCTGACCTGGACTTGGTGTGGACAAGAAAGGGTGATGAAAACGCCAGGATGTCAACAGCGTTGTTTCTGAGGAAATGGCCTCACACATGGGTCTCGACTTATCTCTTTACACTTATTTGTGTCTTCCAGTTTTCTACAATGAATATTTATTACTTGGATAATGGAAATAAATTTTAATAAAAATTTCTTAAAGCAACTTTTAACGTGAAAAGAAAAACACTGTGACTAGTTATTGTCAATTCATATTATTTGACTTGTGCAGCCTTTGATATCGCTTTTTCTTTTCTGTCCCCTGCACGTACCTACCCCCTGCCCCCACCACACACACACACACACACACACACACACACACACACACACACCGGTGGTTCCTGTCAACAAAGTGGCGATAATTTCTGTTACTGAACTCTACCAGATCTTCCACTTCTTTTGTCTTAGACCTCCCAGCAGTTTTTCCTCATTATTCCTTTCACCATATTTATGCAAACTGCATGCTGACCAAATGATACAAGAAGCTAAACTATATGCAGAAGAATATTCCGTCAGGATGGCAAGAAGACTCATTAAGAACCTGCAATATACCGAAGACACAACCTTGCTTGTTGAAAATGAAGACAACTTGGAGCCCTTACTAACAAAGCTCAAAGAGTAAAGCCTTCAGGACTGATTACAGCTCAACATGAGGAAAGCAAAAGTCCTCTCTACAGAACCAATCAGCAACATCCAGATACATGAAGTCAATGGTGAAGTCGTCAGAATTTCATTAGCTTGTGCCAACAAGCAACACCCATGGAAGCAGCCGTCACCTTGGATGAACCTGCTGCAAAGGATTTCTTTAAAATCTTAAAAAGCAAAGACGTTGCTTTAATAACTAAGATGTACCTGATTCAAGCCGCGATCTCATCTCATATAAATGAGAAAGCTAAACAATTAAAAAGGAAGATGGAAAAGAAAGTGACGTCTCTGAGTTATGGTCTTATTGGACACACCATGGACTGCCAGAAGATAAACAAATTTGTCTTAGAAAAGGTATGTCTGGGCTGCTTTCCAAAGCAAGGATGACAAAATACAATCTCACCTATCACACTTACGACAAATTGCATCTGTTACCAAGAGGGACCAATGCTTGGAGAAAGACAGCACACCTGGTAAAAGGTAAGTATAAAAGAGAAAGACCCTCAATGAGATGGATTGACACAATAACAGCAACAATGGGCTCAAGCTATCAACGATTACGAGGGAAGCACAGGACCAGGCAACGTTTCATTTTGTTACATATAATCCTAATGCACATCACAAAACGTATAGCTGTTGTTAGGTGGTGGAATTTGGCTCTAACTCATGGTGACCCTATGTGTACAACTGAATGAAACATTGCCCTGTTTTTCACTGACTTTACCAAGCACGATGAGATATTTTATTGTGCCAATATGGCCAATAAATACATGTGGGGCTAACTGAAGGGTGGAGGGATAAATGGTTTGGTGAGCCTCACCTTTCTAGTTCTCGGGTCTCTTGCTTTCTGATGGTTGGACCAGGGTGCAGCTGCCTTAGCCAGTTCCCTGCTTCAGCTGGCAAGGCTCACTTCCTGCAAGACATCCCTGAGGAGAAGCCACATGGACCTACCCTGATGCAGCCCTGGGTGCTGAAGCAGCCCATGTGGAGACTCCCGCCAACGCTGAGAGGCTTGCACATTCACTGACTCGACTTTCCTCCTGCAGTCGGCATCATTGCGTGTGTTTTGTGAGATGGAGGAGGACTTTGTGGATTGGTGTTGGGCATATGGGTTAATGTTGGACTTGTGGGCTTGGGCAGCACTGGGTTGGGATGTTTTCTTGATGTGCACTTAACCTTTACATAAGACTCTCTTTTATACATGAGTTTCTGTGGATTTGTTTCTCTAATATACCCAGACTAATACACATGATGTCCCTTGGTAGGCACTGGTCACACCTGATAACAAGTGTAAAGATGAAGTCTCACCTTCCTCACTTCTAAAGTCACAGAAAAGACAGATGGAGTTTTCCAAACTAGGCTTGTCCACTTTTGTGGCATGGTGTGTCTTCAATACTCTTTATCAGCGCCATGACTCAAAGGCATCAAGTCTTCCTTGATCTTCCTCCTCGTCGCCCAGCTTTTGTATGCACGTGAGTGACTGGAATCACCACGGCTAGGGCAGGTAGGCTTAGTCCTCAGAGGCCCAGCTTTGCTCTGCAGCACTTTAAACAGCTCTTGGGTAGCACATTTGCCAGTGCAATGCATTGTTTGGCATCTTGGCTGCCGCTTCCATGAGCAGTGACTGTAGATCTGCATAGAGTGAAATCTTTGATGTCAATATTTTCCCCTTTTATTAGTGTGTTATTTATTGGTTTATCTTTTTAAAAAAAATCATTTTATTGGGGGCTCATACAAGTCTTATCACAATCCACACATCAGTTGAATCAGGCATGTTTGTACATATGTTGCCCTGATTCTTCTCTAGACATTTGCTTTCTATTGAGCCCTTGGTATCAGCTTTTTTCCTCCTCCCTTCCTCCCCTCCCCACCCTCATAACCCCCTGATTGATTGTACATTGCTATTATTTTCATCTCTCACACAGACCGCTGTCTCCCTTCCTCCATGTTTTCTGTTGCGGGGTGTATGGTGTTTGTTTTCTGTGGAGGGGTGTATGGTTATGTGTCGATCATTGTGAGGATCTTTGTTTTCTTTACATTAAGATGCAGCCCATACTGAAGGCTTTAGTGTTTGTTTTCAGTAAATGTTTCCAGTCCTCTTGGCTTTCAGGAAGCAAGGTTGTGTCACCTGCAAATCACAGGCTGGTAATGAACTTTTCTCTAATGGTGCTGCCTCATTCTTCTTCACATTGTCCAACTTCTCAGTGTATTGGCTCAGCATTCAGACTGAACAAGTACAGTGAAAGGATACAACCCTGACTCACCCCTTTCAAGGTTTTAAACCATGCAGTGTCCCTTTGTTCTGTTCAAACAATTGTCTCTGGTTCTATGCGCAGGTTCTGCCTGAACACAATGAGGTGTCCTGCAATGTCCATTCTTTGCAATGTTATCTGAAGTTTGTCATGATCCACACAGTAGAATGCTTTTAATAATCAATAAAACACAGTAAACATTTTTCTGCTCGTCTCTGCAGTCAGAGAAGGTTCATCTGACCTCAGCAATGATGTCTCTTTTTACTCATCCTCTTCTGAATCCAGCTTTACTTTCTGGCAGCTCACTGGTAATGTGCTGCTGCAATGGCTTTTTAATTATCTTCTGTAATTTTTTACTTGACTATGATATTAATGATATTGTTCAAAATTTCTGCATTCTGTTTGGTTGCCTTTTTTAAAATGGGCACAAATATAGTTCTCTTTTCGAAGCCGTCTTCAGATTTTCTTGGCATAAACTGAAGAATGCTTCCAAGACTGAATTTTTTTCTCAATTTCAATTTGGTATTCCAAAAAATAAAAAAATTGGTATTCTCACAATTCTAAGCTAATGTCTTTAGTGCACCTTGGATGTCTTCCTTCAGTACCATTGTTTTGTTTTTAAACCATCTTAAATTGTGGATTAGGTGTTGGTTTTACATTTCAGATCTTCAATTTGATATTCAACAACTTAAACTACTTATTAAACCCCTCAATAGCGTATCCTACCCAACCTCCTTAGATTTCTCTTCTCTCTGTTGTAGACTGCCATCTCCTCTGTCACTCAAGTTAATACCTAGCAACACTCCAGCTTCATCTTCCCTCCTTCCGTAATCTCCAAAATCTGTTCCCTTTGGTATGAAAGTCTTTGCAACTCCCCCACCCCCACCACACACACACACACACACACACACACACATGCACACTCTGTTTCTTTATGGCAATGGTCTTCTACTGATGGGCATTTAGGCTGTTTCCATCTTCTTGCTATTGTGAATCATGCCGTGATAAACACGGTGTGTTAGGCTGGTTGTCTAGAGCAGGAATGTCAAACTGGTGGCCCGCGGGCCACATGTGGCCCCCGAGGTAATTTTTTTGTGGCCCGCCGTGCTCTGAAATAAAATGAAAATAGACAAAATTGTTAGGAAGAAAATAACGCTTAGGGGAGATGGATGCAATGCCGCACACAATTCCCTCGTTAACCCTTTAACTACTGAAGATGAGTATACACATGGCCCAGTGCCTTTCCTGGGGGCCTGTGGATGAGTATAAACGTGCTGACTCCGTTCTGGTGACGTTTGGAAGCGATATGTCTGCCACTCTCAGCGTCACGTAATGTGAACAGATCCCAATAGCGAAAAGGTTAAAAGAGTGCTCTGGGTTGTGCTGTTATGAATCATACCTACTGGCAGCGCTAGTTAACATTTTTAGAGGGAAACCATTGCGTGAGCAACTATTTTTGTCCTTGAAGTTAAGTATAACGGCAAACAGATCAAGATTAACTGATAAACATCTATCTTTCTTAATGAAGTTTGGCTGTTCTGTCTTTGAATCCAGATATTGGAAAATTAGTAGGAGGAGAGCTCTGGCAAGTTTCTGGAAAAAAGAATAATTTTAGTTTTATAAATACATTAAATAAAATAAATGTTTAAATAAAAGCAATTATATGGTGTTTTAATTATACTATCCATGTTCCCGAATCCTCACTTCAAAATATAAATTTAACAAATTTGTAAATGTAATATGGCCCACAGGAATCTTGCCTGTTGCACCAAATGGCCTGCGTCTTAATTGAGTTTGAGCCCCCTGATCTAGAGAACCAAATCCAGTGACGCCCATCTATTTATAAGATAGCAGCTTATATCAGAAGTGTGTATAAATCAAGAAGGCATTGCAGCCCCGTCCACCTCAAGTCTACAAATGTGATGCTAGTTCAAAAGCCCCTCTTCGGACTCACAGAGCAGCGGGTAGTGATTCAGAAAGGTGATTCAGGAAGCAGGCAGATCCCGGCCCGTTGGGTGTGCAGGTATGTGCAGTCACGGTGCAGTGCAATGTCAGTGGGAACATGGCAGGGCGCTTGCGGCTCTCAGGGTCAGAGACCCACGTGGGGATGCCCCTGGGGGCAATCACAGAGTCCCAGTGAAGTCTCCGTGAGAAGGAGGGTGACGTGGCCGAGAGAGATGTAGTTCCCAGTCTCTCACTCTCATGGTGTCATCCAGCTGCCACTTGATTGACAGGTTTGACTGCACCCCTAGGCCGGAGTGTCTAGTTGACATAAAATCATCGGACGACCACAATGGGTGGACATGTCTCTGTTCATGCTATGACTCATATTCCTTTAGGGTACAGACCCAGCAGAGGAGCTGCTAGATCTTATGAAATTTCTATTCTGAGCTGTTAGAGGTAGTGCCACATGGCTTTCCATAGTGCTTGGACATAGTTACAGTTCCACCATCAGTGTATGAGGATCCCAATCTCTTTGAACCCTCCCTAACATTTGGTTGTTTTCTGTATTTTGTTGATGTTTTGGTTTGGTTGTCATTGTAGGTGTAACATTTCTCATTGTTGCTTTGATTGGCATCTCCCGAATGGCTAGTGATCACGAGCACTTCTTCATACGCTTGTTGGCCTTTGGGATTTCATTATTGGTGAACTGTTGGTTCGTGTCAATATTTGAGTGCCAAAGAAAATGTTTGGGGGGCTGGGGGGCACATTTGACCTCCTCAGGCTACACAAGGGAGAAGGAGAGTCAAAGGCCCCCATCCCAAGGCCAACTGCCACAATGCAGAGATCCAACCTGCCTCCAGCCGCCATTCTTCTGTGACCCTCTTCTGACACGGGATGTTCTTCCCACGGCACTGTGCTTCTCTACGGGGTTCTATACCCCATGGAAATGGCCACTCAGTACTCACAGACAATACAATTATAAGGGGTTCTTATAAGGGAAGTTAACAGGTTCCTACAAGTCAAGATCAGAAAACATTAGAGATACGGTATTTTGTCCACACCTCTTCTCAGCCAGCAGCAAAATCTCTCTCTGGTCCTCAGCCACTCAGTCATGTGGTCCCGTGGCCTCTGTCTCCTTGGCTCAAGACGCCTGCCTGC